GGGCTGGCGCCCAGCACCCACGCTCAGAGCAGGCCTGACCCGTTGTCCTTGGCCTGTGCCCGTTCCTGGCTCTAGGGACAGAAGGCGTCCTGGCTGGCACAAGGATGACTGGGGTGCACGCCAGGAGCCCCCAGGGAGCCCATCTGACAACAGCTCAGACTAAATCCCAGCCTGGGGATACGGAGGATGCACTCAGGGTGGCAAGCAGGTGCCAGAAAAAGACAATCCCCTAAGCCGCTCCCAGAAGGATTAGGCGGCCAGCCTGCCTGGCTCCTTCTGCTGAAACCATCTCTGTCTTGACGAACCCCAAGACACCCAAGTGCATCTCACCGAAGCCCCGGAGCTTCAGAGTCATTCTGAGCTGTCTGGTCCAGCCCTCTGGCCTCAGCAATCCGGCAGACCTCCTGCTGTTTCCTTGCTGGGACTCGAGGCTGAACTGAAGGGAGAGCGGGGCCCCAGGGAGAAACATTAATTTATAAAGATAGCTGGTTGTTTTCCCCAGTAGAGTTCATTTTTATTTAAAAAAACAAAAATAACAAGTGGAAAAAAAAACCCTGCTGATAATAGGGATTTAGAGAGAAAGATAAACCACAGTGAACAGCTTCGTGGGGCGTCCACAGATGAGGCCACTCAGTCAGGGAACTAATCAGCATGTTAGGACTGCCATTCGTCCTGCCCTGACACTGACAGCAGCTGTGCTCCATGTCATGCTGCTGGCTCTGAGGGCCTAAGGTAACCCCAGCACTCTGAGGGTCAGCTGGGCATCAATTCCCTTCCCTCACCCGGCGTGTGCCCAGAAAGTCAAAATGTCAAGAGAAGTGTTCAGGTGGGGTTAGGATGGTGAAGCAGGAGACCTTCGAGCTACACCCAGTGCCCCACACAGAGAAAGGCAGGCGTGAGAGGGAAATGAAGAGTCCAGGGACTTACCTGGGGCATGCCTGAGGCATCCTGAGAGTCACCAGAGGCACATCTGGGACTCATGTGGGGCACACCGAAAAGACGCCTGGGGCACATCTGGGGTATACCTGGGGCACACCTGAGACACATCTGGGGTATACCGAGGGATGCCAGTACCAACAGAATGTCAGCTTCATGAGGTCACAGCCTTCTTGTCCGTTCTAGCACATAGTAGGTGCTCAGCAAATGTTTGGGAAAGAATGCCAAGGAAATGAGCAGGGGGTTGGTTATAGTTCAAAGAAGTTGGTTATAGCTCAAATGAAGGGTTTTGGAAACAAAACGTGCCCAAGCCAGAAGAGGCCGGAGAACTGCCCAGCCCACTCATCTGTTCCATGGTGGGAGAAGAGACGTGTCTAGTGGGAGCAGTGAGATTCTGCGAGTGGGTGAGGGGAGACAGGTGGGATCCTCTGTAGCAACTGGGGAGGCAGAAATGAGAACTTGCTGGCTGAGCAGCCATGGTCCCCCTGCCTCCCAACCAAGTGGGTTGGTGGGTCCAGCCCAGCCACTTAATAGCAGGTGACCGTGGGCCAATCACTTTAACTCCTTCCTGCTTACCCAGTCAGGGTCCAAATGGGACAGTGGTGCCCATGGTGTGTTGTAAAATGGAGCACCACCAGCTAGCATTTCCCACAGTGTGTCCTGGATCAGTGCTTCCCCATGGAATCGCTTCCCCATGGAATCGCCTGGAGATCTTGCTAAAATAAAGATTCTGCTTTAGGAGCCTGGGGCGGGTCTCTGACAAGCTCCTAGTGGGTGCTAACACAGCCAGTCAGGACCCACTGTGAGAAGCCGGGTCTGAGGAAGACAACTCCCACTGGGTTAACACAGAGCTACATCCTGAGGAAGGGAAAGAGCTCTGTTAAGCCCCAGTTAAGCAAAGCTAAAGGTGTTTCCTATCAAGGAACTTATTTAGAGAGTTTAGCACGAACTTGGCTCTCTAAGCAGGGTTTCCCAAACTCCTTTGGCTCTAGAACCTTTCTCCTTATTGAAATTAAACTTTTTTAGGGGAATAACTGTAGGTTCATATGCAGTTATAAGAAATGATCCAGAGAGATCCCGTGCACCCTTTACCTAGTTTCTCCCAATGGCAACACCTTCCCAAACGAAAACATAGGATGTCCCAGCCAGGATAATGACCCTGACACAGTCAACACACAGAACATTCCATCACCACAAGTCTCCCTCCTGTTGCCCTTTTACAGATACATCCACCTGCCTCCCACTCCCACGACCCCCTGAACCCCTGATGACCACTAATCTGTTCTTCATTTCTATAATTTTGTCATTTCAAGAATATTCTATAAATGGAATCAGACAGTACAGAACCTTTTGGGATTGGTTCTTTACACTCATCATAATTCTCTGAAGATTCATTCAGGTTGTTGTGTGTGCCACAGTTTAATTGCCAAGAGTATTCTACGGTGTGGATGAACTACGGTTGGTTTAACCATTCATTTGTTGAAGGACATCTGAGTTGTTTCTAGTTTGGAGCTATCATGAATAGAGCTGCTATAAACATTCATGTACAGATTTTTGTGTGAATATAAATTTCGATTTCTCTGGAATTAATGCCCAAGAGTATAATTGCTGAGTTGTATGGTACTTGTCTATTCAGTTTTTAAAGCAACTGGCAAACTATTTCCAGAGTGGCTGTACCATTTTACATTCTCACAAGCAACTTATTAGTGATACAGTTTCTCAACATCTTCCCCAGCATTTGGTGTTGTCACAATTTTTTATTTTAGCTATTCTAATAGGTTTGTAGTGATATCCATTGGGATTTTCATTTGCGTTTCCCTAATGACTAATGATTTGGAACATCTTTCCATGTGTCTGTCATCTGTACATCCTTTTTGGGGAAATGTTTCCTCATGTCTTTTGACCATGTTCTCACTGGATTGTGTGCACCTCTGCTGTTGAGTTTCAAGTGTTGTTTATCTATGTTAGATCCTAGTTGTTCATTGGATTTGTGNCCCCTTTTTTAAGTGACTGTGACACTCTTCTAAGTGTCTCACATGTATTAACCTCCACCCCACAGCAACCTTTGAACACCAGGATTATTCTTTATCGCTATTTTATGAACCAGCGCACTGAGGCAAGAGCCGTCAGGTTGCCCAGCTAGCAAGTGGGTCTTTTCCCTTCTGAGAGCCAGTGATCTGATTTTGCACAGGAGCCCAGGGCCAGGCCTTCAGATCCCTGGCAAATTCAGGCACTGTACAGCACCGACACCCCCTCATTCTCTCTGCCGAGTGATGGCAAAGCCATGGTTCCCAAAGTTAGCCACATCGTGTTTCCAGCACTGCCATCATCCCCAAGAGTAGGTGGCTGATAAAATTTGTCTTTATTTGCACCCCTCTTAGTGCAAGGCCCTCAACCCCCATGAGGCCCCACCACCCCTTTATTCTTCCATCCAACTAGCACCACGTGCTCCTGCTGCCCACCCCACTCAACACTTCCCACCATCCACACAAACCCATGGTCTAGAGAGCCTGCTTTTCACATGGGACGAGGATACATCGTTTCAAGTATCAGCAACCAGAAGACCAAGAGGGGAGGATTTTGATGGGGGTACATCAGATGTCAGCTTGTGCTCTGCAAGTGGGAAGCAGCCCTGCTGGGCTCCAGAGATCCCCTCTCTAAATTCAGCCACTCCAGCCTTCCCTGTCCCAGCTCCCACATGGAAGAGAGAACCTCTGTTTACCTTAGGTCGCCTCCATTCATGATGGTCATCACCAGACAGAGGTCAGTTTTGGTTTCAAATGCATAGGCCAGAGAGACAATAAACCTGCTGTGTACTTTTGCTAGAATCTTCTTCTCTACCATAGCACCCTGAAAAGGAAGATGTCGAAAGTACCCAGGTTTAGGCCGGGAAATGATAACCGTCATAAAATACCAAGTTCCGCAAACCAGACAATGTCACAATAAAATAGAAACGGAGTTGCGAATATATTTTAAAAGTGGTTTGCACAAAGTAATTGCAAAATAATTATAAACACGCCTCACTCACCCATTTCAGAGACAAAATTGGACATGCAAATTCATCGTGTACAGAGGGTTTCTGGTTTCCTGGAGCCTACAGCAAGGGGGTGCTTCCGCCAAACAGTCTCTTAAAAATGTCAGATGGGGGCTCCCGCACGTCCCCTGGCTGACTCGCCTTCCTTACCTCCAGCTAGTTTGTCCTGTTGCAACCCCAGCCCCTTTCTTCCGGACACCATAGGATAGTCAATGTCCCAAGCCACCCCACATCTCTGTTCATTTTCTGTTTATTTTAAAACCTCATGATGTCCATTTAACATGTTTTTAAAAATTGTGTTTGAATAAGGAAACCAGAATCCCTTTCTGAAGGAGGAATCCTTAGTATTGGAGGAGGCCCCTTTCTATCCACACTGCATGGGGAGATTTTAGGTTGATTCTACTTTGTATTAAGTTCAAGGGGGGTCCTGGACTCAGGAGAGAAGAGACTGCTGTACTCTAATTCATGGGTTAAAATTACAGAGAGCTGTGAGGGATAGATAACTGCTTCTCCTCAAAGCCCCACGGGGGAGAGCACCATCAAGGAACCCCCCCCCGAGGAGGGGGTGCTCTGTGGTGGCTACTGTTTATTCCAAAAAGCTGCATCTGCCCCTGACACATTCTGCCCCGTGCAGCAGGAAAGGAACTGAGAACAATGAGGATGGACCGTGTGGCTGGGAGATGAGTTCCTAAGACGTTAAGCAGCTTTTGCTGATCCTACCTAAACGGGGTCTGACTCCAGTTAAAGAGAGGGGACCCCACTCAAAGCAACCTGCCTGTGCCTCCATTCACTCCTCATCCCTGGAAAACAGCTGCACTTGGGGAACAGCCTGCACCCAGCATCACAGACAGGCTCAGACTCCCAGAAAGGACCTGCGTTAGCCCTGGCTCAATTCCCTTTGTGTTGTCTGTCATAGCAAAAGCCAGGGCTTGGGAAAGTTCCAGAAAGTCAGCGTAAAGAATTAGAGAACGATCCTCCAACAGCCTCCCACAACACTGCTACTGTATTTCGTGGTATTGGTGAAAAACCAAGAAGGATGGCAGAATGTGGAGCGTCATCCACACCAACAAATGCAAAGGCTCTCTGAGGAGGGACGTTAGCAAACTCCGTTTGTGTGCAGAGTGTGAGGCTGGTGGCTAAGAGCAGCTGGACGGGACAAGTCACAGGCCGGAAGGACCACACACTGTCCCCTCCTGCTACTCTGCTCTGCGCCAAGTGCTCGGCTCAGCTGCTGGGCACAGACAGGGTTGACTCAGGACAAGGAGATGCAGATGGACTGGAAACCGGCCGACGGCTGTGTGATGGGAGGGGCTCCGTGTTCAAATGGCAAGGTGAGCGAGCCAGCCAGCTGAGGGGTGCAGCGTGAAGCCGGACACGGCGGCTGAGGACCCTCCCAGCCCGCTGACCCACTCATCCACCAGTTCTAACAGAGCGCCCTCCACTGGGAATGGCTGCAATGCCCACCTGGTACCCCTTCCTTTTCTTCAGCCTCTTCTTGTTCAGCTTTTTACATGCGTACATCTTGCCAGTTGCCTTCATCTGGCAGGCAGACACCTCCCCAAAGCCACCTTTCCCCAGGACCCTGAAGTCCAAGAACCAGTCTTCCCCCATGGGCTGGGCCTCCAGCCACTTCCACTGCAAGAACCTCTGGAAGTACAGGGTGCCCAGGTACTCTTGGAACGGGGTCTGGCTCAGGTGGGCCAGGGTGGCCTGCAGAAGAGACTGAAAAAGCCCATCCCCACTTGCCACAGGCCCCTCCCGGACCTTCGCCATCACCCCTTCATCCAGGAAGCTGCAGAAGAACTTGGCCTGGGGATCCAGGTACTCAGCCAGGATGGCCCGGGCCTTCTGTGGCCGGAGATCATCGTCGGCTGTGTCGTAATCCTCAATGTCCTTCCAGAGCTCCACGGCAGGTACATGTCCCTCATCGGCCTTCAGGAACTGCTGGAAGAGCCGCTTGCCGATGGGCTGCTCCGAGCACACACTCTGGAACTCCAGGTCCAGGCTGTCCCGGAGGGCCTCGCACTTGGAGAGNAAACACACCTGCTCTCACACATGCACATTTGCATGCACATGCATACACACAGGCAAACACACACACTCATGCACACATACACATGCACATTTGTACAGTCACTCATGTGCCCACACCTACACACTCTGGGCTCAGTGGCCTAAGGTCTCAGCACCCAGGTGCCTCTGCTCCCTGCGCAGACTATACAGGGACTGAGAATGACTTCACGTAGAAGGCAGCAAGAAAAGAATGAAGGAGGGAGGATTTGGTCATAACATAGTAACTATTTACCAATAGTTCCAGACACTCTATATATCCTGGATTAATTCCCCAAGTGCCTCATTATGCACCAAATTTCATCAAAGTCCATGCAAAATCTCCATTTGGAGATAATGCTGTTCTGTCGCGAAATAGCTGAATGAATAATAAACAAACTAAAGATGTGTCTTGGTGCCCCTAAAAGCTCTGATGAGCATTTATCAAAACCAGCCCATCTCCCTACGGGTGACCGGTGGGGCCACAGAGGTAAACAGGGCTAGGGAAGGTTGGGAGGGGAGGCCAGGCGAGGGGAGGCCACCTCACCTTCATCATCCAGGAGCACGTTCTCAGGCTTGAGGTCTCGGTAGACGATGGCTCTCTGGTGCAGGTGCTCCAGGCCGCTGATGATCTGGGCCGTGTAGAAGATGGCACGTGGCTCCTGGAAGCCAGGGTTCTCCTCATTCACATTGTAGATGTGGTACCTGGAGGCAGACTATGCGGAGGCCTGTGCTTTTCTGGCACAACTACAAGAGTGTGACCACGGTTTTGATGGATATAACATCTCGGGAAAACAGTGAGGGCCTCAGAATCCCATGTTGTATAAGCAAAGTGTCCGGTCATTTGGGGGCCTCAGCGTCCAGCCTAAAGAGCCTGTGGCAGTGTCATGGCCCCCTGGAAACTGGTGCTCGCACCCTCACAGACCATTCACCATAAGTGTTACAGGGGAGAAACGAGGCAGCTAAGTGCACTCCCCTGTCGTGCCTCCCCAGCCCTGGCCCCAAAGCCACGTCACCATTGCCAACCGAACAAGTAAGGACGGAGAAAGAAGGGGGAAGTCTCCATGAGCAGCCCAAGTTACCTCAAATACAGGCAGTTAATAGAGAGTCATG